TATTCTTTCACTAACTCTTCAATATTATGGCAATAAACTAAATTTTTCATTTTTGAAAAATATTTTCGGAAAGTTCGTTCTCTCGAACGATACAAAGAAATTTTTGTTCCTGTAGAAAGACTTTTTTTTCTTTTAGTCTGGATGCTAAAAGTTCTGAGCTCTCTTTCGAGAGTCCTAAGTCTCTGCAAAGATCACTCACTTCATCTTGGTCCCATTTCTCAGCATCTGCCGTATTTTCCTCAAAATCTGACTCTTCTGTGCTAAAATTTTGACTCTCATCACATTCCAATGATCCATCTAACAAATCTTCATCATTTAAATCTTCCAGTTCCTCTTCATTTATTTCCTTGCTATTATTAGTATTCGTGTGAATAGGAACTGGAAAATTCACAGATCTGACTTGTGGATATGAAATTAAATTTTTATTCTTTCGGTTGTAACCTTTCACGTTTGTTAAACAGAAGAAACAGTCGGTAGCATGATTTGTTGGGGATCTCCATATCATTGGTTTAGAAAATACCTGCTTGTTAATTTCATTAAGAACACTACGGCATCTCGAACATATAGTTTTGGGAGTATATGAGTTGTCCAATGAACTTGTATCAATACTATAAAGTTGTTTATATTTTATTTTCAAAGCATCTGAAAATACAAATTTTTTCTTTTGTGGAATAAACTCCCCACAAACAATACAAAAATTGTTCACGTCAATAGTACATGACAAATGTCTTGTAGCATTCGACTCTACAGAGGCCAAGTTTTCCACCACTGTAGAGCTACGGTCGCTTGATGACGACGCCTGCGGGCCCGCTTCCCCACCCTGACCAGCCGCCGATTCTGGGTATCCGAAACCCTGTCTCGTAAATTTTCTACGTTTAGTTGCCATGACGGCATAATCGCCGTAACCCAGGGACTTCGCCGGATAGTGAGACAACTCCGTTGCACACCGTCACCACGGGGAGGTGCCCTGGTTGCAACCAAACCTAAATTCTGGAAAGCTAAACTCAAAAAAGATATGTATGAATACATTTTGTTTGTGCTTTATATTCAAATTACCTTAGAATGACCTTGTATGACCTCTAGGATAGGTCGCGGGTTTAAACAATTTATGGATTCGGATTCGGGGACCTCAAAAACATACCCATGAATTTTTTTGGATTTTTTCGAAGGTTTTCTCTCCACTTGACCTTGAAATGACCTTGAACCTGATGTGATGAAGCTTAACCAACCCGCTCATCGTAATCAGCGACCCAAAAAACCTACTGGGACCAGTCCGCTTCCAGAGTATCCTTTTAGATCAAATGTTGACCTGTGTAATCTATTATATAATGTCTCTAGGTATACAATGAAGGAGCCAGGCAAAGCAATAAAAGAACTGGCTTTTTCATAGCTCTCAGTACCTTCTTTCATAACATTATGTGTAAAAAATCTAATCACAGAATATCTGATAAACCAAAATAAACAAAGAATTTGTAATTACATTCTTAGTTGTGTTAATGTATATAGTATTTGATAAGAAAATACTTTTTCCAAAAGCTAATCGTAAATTAATAAAAAAGATTTGGAAATTTAACTCAAGGAATGTACTTTTTGTAATGATAATTTTGCGTCTCTCATTGAGGCAACGCCATTTTGACGATGACTGTCAAATGTTTATGAACAACATAATTTTAGTACTGTTGTAAAATGAAAACATTTTTAAATTTTTGACAATATTCAATTGGCTGAAATATGAAATGACTCTTTCTAAACATGTTTCTTTTGCCCACTCTCCTCTAAATTTAAATTAATTTATTAAAAATGTTTTTTAAAAAATGTTAACATTGACCAATTTTCTTAAATTATAATTTTTTTAAATAGTAAATCGGATAATTTAATAATAATATGGTTACTCATGGTTCACATAACTTTATGTAAGTGACATTATTTTACATATACCTCTCTCTAATCGCGTTTCTCAGATACAATAATAAAAATTATTGTAATTCTTATGTAGTAAATCAACCAATTTGATGACCAAATTCTGACAAGTATTGATCATTAACTCATATATCAGAGCATTCTTTCTTTATTGCGGTTTTCTCAAAATAATTTGTTTTGCATTATTAATTATGATGAGGACCCGAACCGAGGATTGAAACGTATACGTGATTTACTTGCTTAATAAATGATTCGTAATTTACACTCGAACATCCTATGTTGGTTCATATCAGCATATATACTTACCTTATTAATAAAAAGTTTGAAAAATAATATTTCTTTTACCAGAAACCAAAAATAACAGTCATCTTAAAAATTTGATCTAAAAAAAATCATTGATTAAAATTGATTAAAGTTCATGATCATTGATTAAAAGTTGATATTTATTCACAGGGAAGACAATCATCAATGAATTTGAAAGAAATTGTTTGAAAAATATAATTTTCATAAAATATCAATTTTTATGTCATGTTATCAATTATTCTGGTTATACCAATGGAATAACCAGTATAAATAATTAAAATTATTTTTGGTTGCGAATAATCATTACTGATGTTGGAAAAAACTTTTTCATTTTTAAAATTAATGCTTATAATAAAAAGTATAATTTATCTCGAAAATTTATAAAAATTTATGTTTGTTAAACTAAATGATAATTAATTACTGTATTGTTATGTAACGTTATCTGTTATCTCTCTAATCTTAATTCGACGGTCCTCCAGTATTTGGTGAACTTTTTCAATATTATCGGTGGTGGAGTTATTGGCCGTCTTGAATGCTCATCATCAACCAAGCTGATATGACCACATTTAAATTCATCTTTTCACGATGACAAATTATGGGATTTCCATAATCCGTAAATATGTAGCATCCAACTTGGCTTTAATTTTGCGCAAACGTATTGCCTATCAAAAACTTAATCACGCTACGATATTTGATTTTTTTCATTTTCACGGAAACATGATATCGACTAGCACAAATGATTGTTAAACAACTGAGCATTGTCCAAAATAGCTACAATTTTCAAGTATCTTTCAAAGCATACGATTGTAGTACCAGAATGGTTTTGACGAATAATGTCATGTTTATGTTAAGACTTAAAACTTTTCAAACGATTTACGTAATTCCATATTAAAATATAGTGTCTTTTATTTATTTTTTTTTCTCTTCTTCAAATAATATCTTTTATTCTTTAATAATTTTATATTTGTGATAATAAAATTGATAATAAAATTAACATTGGCCATAATAATAATAAAACATGTTCGTTATCATTATTGCTTGCCAACTAGTTTAGAGACCTTGAACAACCAAAATAAAATTCTGGTCATCGATAATGGTTATTAGTAACTCAAACAAATTTCGACAACAGAACATATTCAATATGTTCTCAAACATATTCACAACTGAAAATTTTAATATTTATAATGGTTATTCGTAACCAGAATTGCTTAAAGAAAAATATAATTGTTATGCTTTTTATTTTGGTTATAATAGTTAAGATTTCTGATGTCTATAAAACAAAAATTTTTTGCTTTAAAATATTACATATTTTATGACTGTCCACGCGTAATGAGTTCCACTGTGCAAATCGCTTCGCGTGGAAAGCCATTACATACGCAGGGGAGTATTTAAGATAGTTTTTAATATTGTAGCAAAAATAAGACGTTATTTAAAAAATTTTTTTGTTAATAACGTTCTTAACGAATAACGAGTGTTGGCTAAATTCTGTTAAAGGTCAAGACCTTGATAATGACATGGTCATTGTCAAGGTCATCGGAGCTCTCTTCATCGGCATATTTACTTATTATATATATTTTATTATATTGGATAGATTTTATATACAATTAAATGCAAACAATAATGAGAAATGTTTTGACACTATGCAAGTGTCTAAAGTGTCTCGCCAATCTCGGTTGTGTCGACTCTGACCGAATTCCACGCCCATTCGTCAACTTCAATATCTCACCATTCAAATTTTACTCGTCGGATTGTTTTTTGTTACAGAGACTTTTCGTCTTAGAATTTCGCGGACAATACGTTAGTAACTGGCGGTACGCGAGTTCTGAGACATCCTGTACATAGTATATATACGAGGGATTTTCCAAAGTTCTGAGAATCGCGCAAATAAATAATTGATGGATAAATAGCATCCTTTAAAAAGCTTTTGAAGATAATCTAAGAAAAATAAAAATTAATGAATGAAATATATTCAAGTGATTAAATCTAAAACGATAAATAATGCTGATGATATGAGTCAACATAGAATGTTCAAGTGTAAATTACAACGCCATTTATTAAGCAAGTAAAGACATATATATGTTTCAACCCTCGGTTCAGGTCCTCATCAGTACAATGAATCAACACCAAACCACAATACCAAAATAGGAAATTTAGTAATAACTCTCAAATTTAAAAAAAAAATTAAAATTTCAAGGCATATGAGAATAAGGTGTAGTAATTGCGCAAATTCAATCATAAAACAAAATTATAACAAATTTTTACATAGATATATTAAAAATTAGACAAAAATATAATATATATTCAAATTGTGTTAAAATTCAGACGTTTTTCAGCCAAATATTTGGGGTCATCATTAGCGAAATACCAGAAATTAAACATGAAGATTTCTTTGCACACTATAACAGATCGAGTGACCACCCAGATGCAAATTCAAATTCCTTCAAATTGATTGTGATGATATGTAAAGAAATCTTCTAGTATTTCGCTGATGATGGCTCCATATGTTTGGCCGAAAAGTTCGAATTTTAACACAATTTGAATATATATTTTTGTGTTAATTTTTAATACATCTATGTAAGAATTTGGCATAATTTTCTTTTATGATTAAATCTGCGCATCAATTACTGCGCCTTATTCTCATTTACCTTGAAATTTTAATTTTTTTTACGCAATACCAAATTATTCGGAAAAAAACTGCGTAAAAAAAAATGCTCTAATACATGGGTTAATGATCAAAACTATTAGATATCCACTTGTCGAATTTTTTGTCATCAAATTATCTAATTTGATGAAGTCAAAGAATTGTGCAATGCGCAACATTATTATTATTAAAGTGTCCGATTTTAATAATAAAATGAACGATACTCATAGAGATGTTGATGGTTCGAGCAATAGATATACAATGAGAAAAATAGTTTCACAATGGGATAAGTATGTTCAGTTAAAAAGGAAAAATATTGAAAAAAAAGTACAATATAATGTTGACAAAATTAATAAACTAAAAGATTCCCTAGAAATACATTCCTTGGATATAATATATGTATATATATATATATGTGTATGTATATTTTAGAAATAAATCGTAAAGCGAGATTAATATTTAAGAAAAATCGAAAGAATTTATTGATGGTTTTTCATCGAATGAACAATAAAATAAAGAATTAATGATTGCGGTCTCTTCTTGTTACAGCTTGCATCCACGAGACCTAATAACGTGGGAGCTGATCGGTAAGATTTGGCGGCGTGCGAGGGTGGTGTCCGCGGGCACCACCGAAAGCTGGGGCACCTCGAGGACGAGGAGAGAATCCTGGAGGAGAAAGAGGTGGTTTGCAGGTGGGAGAGAAGGCCGGAGGTGACTATCTACCCCACATGGACGCCACCCCCAAAGAATCATTCGTACCCCCCACACCGGATATCCTGTCGTCATTATCTCGCCGCGGAATATCCGACTTGAGCGTGGTCGCAGTATCGCCGCATCATACCTTATATCGCCATCAACACCGTCGAATATCTAGCAGGAGATATCTTTCATTGCTTGTCTTCGGTGGTGATTGTTGTACGTCGAGAAAACCATCAAGAACATCACCCTCGTCGTCACCTACGTGCCTCGATCATCTTCATTTTTTGCATCCTGTGGTGGAAGAATTATCGATTTCGCGTCGTATTTTCGACGTTCTGGAAACGGGACGTTGTGCTCCAGAATCGTCTATCGCTGCTGGCAGTGAAACGATCCTATCCGTGGACAGTCCCACGTGGCACTTGAACACGACGACGTCGATCATTCACCAGGCAGAGGGAGAATTTTTTACGCATCGCGTTTTTACACCGCGTCAACGCGCGTTTGATGCCTATTTTATAACATCTGACCAGCGTCGCGCCGGAAGGTCGCTCCATTTAACGGTTATCATCTTCTGCGTCGACGAATATATCGACAGATCCGTCCACAAACGCCTAACTCAAAAGTACAGCCTAAAACTAAACCACGCAAACAATGTCACGCAGCGCTGCCACGCGGCCTATGCAAGGTGAGTAATTCTAGATATTGATTTATAATTCGCGATGCCCATTATTATCTTGACG